AAAAGAAGTTCAACTATGTACATTTTACAGCAGTCACAAGTTACTGTAACTTTTGACACACCACAACTTAAAATACATCCATCCATACATTTTCTTCTGCTTGTCCGGGGCCAGGCTGTGGGACCAGCAGCAGCATGTGTTACTGAAATGAAATGGACACTTACAGTCCAACAGTCGGGCTGAACTCCTTCATATCCTCCAGTGTCGGCTCTAAACTGAGTAGCTTCTTGAACAGAACCAGTGGGAATGGTAAGTGTATGATACACTGGTTGTACAAGGCCAAGCCACACAGTAGTCCAAACAGGAAGAAGTTTCTCTTGCTCTCCTCTGTTGCCTGCATTAATAAAAGTTCACTTTGGTTTATTTTTGGTTCATTATTGCTTATTGTTTAAATTTGAATCTTTTAACCAATTTTATACAGTTGGTGGGTTCAGTTTTAAAGTCTTACATTGGAGGGAAACCATGCCAGAGTTTTGGAGTCATTGAGCATGAACATCCCAGATTCTTCTGACACCATTTTAAGAAACAGGTGGTGAAAAAGGTCTCGTTTGTAGACATCTGTGCTGTTTGGATCCTCATCAAAATGGACCTGAGAAATATAAATATTAGAGATGCTTCTGGAAAGAACAGTTGCAGAAGAATGGCTATGCATTAATCATCAGGTGAAAATCAATCAAATATTCACCACAAGTGGCTTCTTGAAGTCGCTGTGAGCAGCAGCTGCCAGCTCTCTGAAGGTGCTTTTGAAAAGTGATGCGCGCTGCAGCTGCAGTTTAAAAAATTTGGGTTTTGACTGGGAAATCCATCCGTAAGGAAAAACAAAAACCATCTGTGGAGGCGCCTCCTGTTCATTCTGCAAGACAAAACAAAGTATCATGATTTTAAAATAAATTCTCTATTTAAATTCCAATTGTGATGTATATAAGGCAGCTAGTGAACCACGTGAGCTAGACTGGCTCTTGCTTCTGTTCTGAGGTTCTGAAACTGACGCCTGCCTGAACTGTGAGTCAAAAGAGTGCTAAGAGAACTAAAACAAATAAAACAACAAAATGTTGGAATCTTCTGCAGCACTGAGGGCAGCTGCTGATTTATGATTGTATTCTGTTAGTTTATTTTCTGTTGTGACTCCTTTGTTTTTTATAGATGGTTGTTCTGTCTGTTATATAAAACTGCTGAATAGTGTAGCTTTAAAGTGCGATCACTAATACAAACTAATGCAGACTGGAAAATTACAAATTCTGCTATTGTTTTCCTGTAACAGGGTGGTGAAGTTACCTGAGTGAAGGCAAAATTCATGTCAAAAACCAGTTTCTTTGATTTCAGATCCATCACAAACGGGTACTTGCACAGAATCACAGGCAGATCATCTGCATTCTGGAAAAACAAAGAAACAACCCACATAAACAGTTAGTGAGCTTAACAGTGTGTTAACATGAATGAGTCATTTGGTGGGTTGACTGCCATCTTAGCAGGTTCAACGTACTTGTTGTCAGCTGACCTCACCTTGAGTTTTGACTTTGTTCGCCAACGTTTGAGATCCTCCTCTAGAAACATCTGGCTAAGCTCGAGGCAAAAAGTTGTTTCTGGGATTTTCTTGTTTATCTCATTGGTCTTAAAACAAGAAGTGGTAGTATTTGTTATACTGGCTGTGTGAAAATCCAACTTTTTTTTTGTTGAAAAGCTGAGCAGTAATACATTTAATAAAATTTTGATCATTTCTGATACTGACATAGTACATATGCTGGAGGATTAGCAGTACGTTTCTGGCTTGAGCGTCGCAAGAAGCAGACTTAAAGATTGGGATCCACGAGAGGGCCGTCTTCCACACCTGAACATATCTGATCATGTCGGAGGGTGACAGTGAGGACCACCATTCCCCTGAGGATGACAAAGTTACAGTCAGCTCTTCACTGGCTGATATCATGGATTAAGAAGTCTAGAGTGTTGGTTAGAATAAAATGCTATCATTTAATACATTGATGCATTTAAACAGTATATACTAATCTAATAAATACACTTTTAATAGACGTGCTGAAGATTTTAAAGTTGTTAAAGTCTGCCTAAATATATGCCTGAACAACAGACTTTAAAATTGCTTTAAAAACAATTAAATTACATTAAATAATAATTGAGTTGTGACATAATTATAAGCTCTGAATCGCAAAGCTTCAGCAAGGTTTTGGACTAATTCCTCAGATTTGTTAAATTAGTTGTTAGTTTAGTGTTTTTTGCATAGGTGAGATTGTGTTATGAGAAATGCATTAACTGCTTTGAGAACTGTTGGAGTTGGATAGAATGATGTTGATGTGAGAACTGCACTAAAGTCGGGACAGCCAGTAAGCAAAATAGTAGGTGTCACCGTACCTAAAATTTGGACGCTTTCATTGGGGAGTCGTTGCATGGTAGCAGCGACTGCATCAGCAAGCTTTTGCCATCTGCATTTCTGTATGCATGCATGCAGAAGTTCATTGAGAAGCAGGAAGATCCTCAATCCTTCCACTCCCACAGGGTTCATATCAACAGATGGAAGCAGCTGCAGAACAGCAGTCTCAGCCTGCTGATGCAACTTGTTATTAATTAATTATTATAATTATAATTATAATTTAATTACTCATCAGGTTACAAACGTGTGTTAGTCACATTCCAGTTCAATACCTCTGCAAAAACAACATCTTGCATCACAAGCTTCTCAAAACTTCGCCGTGCAAGTGACAAGTCCAAACCGGAGTACGTTGGTGAAGTTTGGAAATGTTTATCTTTGCTGACATGAAGAAAATGACAAATGTGTATCTTCAAATGTTAAATTCAACAGATATAAAGAAGTCATGGTCATGCTCATAAATGGTGTTCTTACCTCCTGTCAAGAAAGCTTTGATTCAAACAGGATGGAGATGTGAGCATCCTGTGAATTTCCCTGCGAAGAGTTCATGAGGTTAGTCAGTAACACTAAGACTACAGTGTACATGCTGTGCAGCAAACCAGTTACAAACAACAACAATAACAGCTGCTTTTGTGTTAGACTTACTCTTTTAGATTCTTCCACAGCTTTGGATTATATGCAGAGACCCATTTGTCAATCATGTTATCAATAGAGTGTTCTGTCACCTTGTTCTTTGTGCCACTGCCTGACTCGTTATCAGCGCCCTGTGAAAGAAGCAAAGGTTCATGTTTGGTTTAGACACATGACCTCACAAGTAGATATAACTGGTAAAGCCATGTTTACATCCTCCCACAGGTATCCTTACTGCACTGTATGCATTTGTGCTGGTACCTCATTAGGCGTACATGTTGCAAATGAAGTGTTTCCTCCTGCATAGATGTTAGAAATGTCTAGAATAAAAACAGATGAGAAATTATCTACCTAAGAGTCAACTGTACTGTATGGGATGGTTTTTCAGTTCCAGAAAGAAAGATAAGATATAGCGACTTGCTCTTACAGTGGGCTTAATTTGTGACATTTAGGCAATAAACCTTTTTGTGGTTAACTTGGTTATTTGGATCAAATTCAGGTCCAGTTTTATTTGCTTAAATTATTTTTTCATCAGCACTTTAAAAACATACAGCAGAAAACCTAAAACCTGCCGTGAGTTCATGACATTTATTTTTAGATTATTTTAAGTTTTCCAGTATTTGATGCGTGGCCAAACATTTTGTCTATGATTATATTCATGCCCTTATAGTCAGAATTACTAATTATTTTAAACTAAAGCTTTACCCAATTATCTATTGGGCTATTGGCTCATCTGTGTTACACCTGCAGCAAGTGCAAAGCCCAACAGTGCAGCTCCTCACTGGTTTCAGAAGACTCAGTACCTCTGAGTAGCACTTTTTATTGTTGCATAGTGAATATATGTGTGTGTCTTTGTCAGGTTTATAACCTCTATCTATACAGTTGGATGTGACACACCTTAATTATTACTCTAACAATAAAATTATTTAATTGTTATTGTTATTTTTGTGAAATTGTAAATTGAATCGACTCTTCTGTTCAGATAAATGTATTTACCATGTGGCAGTTGCACAGGTAGTGGCACTGATGCCTGAGTCTCTTCTCCACGTCCCAGCTGCCCTTGTTCATTACACCCAAACGAGTACACCTTCTTGGATCCTGTCAGTACCAGTGTGTGGTAGCTGATTGAGAAAAGAGTGCATGAAAAGGAAAGTCCACAATGTAAAACATGCTTTTTCAAAGGTTTTAAACATCTGTGTTGTTGGTGGACCTCAGTATGATCACTCTGAAGATATAAGACAGAAGTTGAAGTTTCCTGTTTGCTCAGCAGTAAACGCTTTTCTTTTTCAATTATTTATGATATAATAATAATTAAATGTTACCTCCCACATGCAACCTTTGTGACCTTTGCCCCCCAGAGCTCTGCAACAAGCCGAGGACGCTGTTCATTTTGTAACGAGTTGTGGCCAAGCTGTCCATATTGACCAGAGCCAAATGTAAACACTGCACCGTCCTGAGAACCAGACAACAGTTCATATTAATTTTTGCCATGTACATATAGTTATCTCAGGAGTTTGTGGAAAAGCAATTAGAAGCCAAAGAATAAGAAACAAAAAGGCGCTTTCATAATTAATGCAAAATGAACAATGATAGTATAAAATTACTGGAATTTCTTTCAAATTAAAAAACAGACAAATAAAATAAACCTCAATATAAATAACTGTAGTCAACTTTAAACAAAAAAATAAAAAAGAACACAGATTGAGTGTATATCAAATATCATGCATTCATCTATTATTTCCTCCTGTAAAGCAATCTTCAAATTAAAGCGTAAAGTAATTTGAAAGATGCGCAAAGAAAACAAAAAACAAAGATTATGGAAATAAACATGGAAACAACGACAAAGACCACAACTGAAATACTGAGTTCAACACTTCACACAACAAAATACATCTTCTGACATCTACCAATGTTTTAATCACAGCTCATTTAAATCATAGTCAGCATTTAATTGTTTCGCTGCTTGTTCTGGTGGTACAATTGTATGTGAGCCTGTTAACTGTTGTTGACTCACCTTTGTCAGAGCAGCAGTGTGGTCCTTCCCACAGGAAATGGAAACAGTTTTCTTCATGTTTAGGTAATGAACCGGAGTCGGTGTATGTCTGTCTATGAGAAAAACAAAATACTGAATATTGCATGTATATTTTGATACCTGCACCTTGAGTACATATACATCAGATTCCTTCTGGGAACCACACTTCAGTGCGATATTTACAGATATTGACAGATGCTGAGAGTGAGAGATTTAAACTTTCATTGTAGTACCTTGTGTGTCACCCAGTCCAAGCTGTCCACAGTCATTTCTGCCCCAGCTAAACACTCCTCCAGAGACAGAGAGGGCGAAGCTCTGCTCTCCACCTGCAGCGACCTGGACCACTGGGATCGCTGACAAAGATCTGACATGCTGGGGTGAATTCACGTATTGCTCGTTTGTGCCCAGACCCAGCTGCCCCCTGGAGTCCTGGCCCCAAGTATACAACTGACCATCTGTGAGGAAAATCAACATAATACTTTTCTATCATCTTAAACTCCTAAATCCACTAAACCTGTGAAAAGGATTCGTTTTCATTCAGGTTCACAAGCCTTTTATTGCTTACTACATACTTCACGCTACCTTTTGTCAAAACGACTGTATGCTGGCTCCCACAAGTCACCTGAGACACCTGTTTGTTGCGCAGTGCTTCTGGTGTGCTGACAGAACACATGCAAGAAGTGATCAAACTCTTCTGTGATTACAACGGCAGGTTATTGTGAATTCAACTGGAAATTGAAGGACGATCCCTTAAAAACTGAAGCTGCAAATCTTTGACCTCACCTGGGACTGAAAGGAGGGCGAGTTTGATCCACACAAAAAACGATGCCGCTTTCAGACAGAATCCTCACCACATCTTCACCACAACTCACAGCCTCAATCTTCTCTTCGCATTTCACAATCTCTGCAGATTTACAAGCCACGCACAGAGCAGGTCATAGTGGATCAACACAGGCAGAGAAATGAAATTGAGACAGAGACATAAAGCTGATACTCACTCTGTTTCCCTCTCACTCTTCCCTCATCTTGGCTCTCAACTGTGTGAATGATGTAAGCATCCCCATTTCTTTTAATGAAGGCAAGCAGTCTGTGACCTGCTGAAAGATCTGTGACTTGAAAGCTGAGGTTTAGAGAGCATACTCCATCAGCAGGTGAAATATTTGAGGATCTTTTCAAGCGAAAGCCCTGCTGCCAGTCCTCTCCCCATGAAAACATGATGCTAAAATGACTGTGCAGTACAAGCAGCTGCTTTTTATGACTCGGGTGGAAGTATGAAACGAAACCTGACTGGTTTATTGAGCAAAGTCAGCTGTGAGAAAACAAAACTTACAAACAATAAAAACACCACACCTAGTGAGTCACTGGCACGTGGTTTATTACCTTAGCTGGAAAACCAAAAACGAAACTGGAGTTGACGTGTGCAGATTTTGCATGACAGCAACATATTTACCTATACTGAGCAAGTCATTCGCATGAGTCACGAAGTTACTCTGCATTTGGTGTTTTCTGAAGGAGGTGTGGCTTTTACCCTAAATAACAAGAAAATGTGTGAGGCTGTTAACTGTTAAGTATACCAGGTGTGCAAGATATCATTTGTGCTTTTCCTTATTTTCTGTCATACACAATGATGGATGCTCATATTGAACATGACCTAAGATTCAGACAATGGTGTCATTATATGTACAAGTAATCGCTGTGAGCTAAAAGGTTGTAAGTACTTTGTTCCAGACTGTTTCTTTAAACTCTTGGCTCTGTATGATGTCAGTGAGACCAGGTATTCCAAATATTATCAGCTTGGTGTCACGATCCCGGGTCTTATGACCCAGTGTTTTGAGTTTAGTTTATTTGGATGTTTATATGATTAAGCTCATGAATTTTTCTAGTTCTTTGTTATTAGATTCCCCTTGTGTCTTCCAACCCCTGTTAAGTCTCCCTTGCCCTTCATGTGTTTCATGTCTGTTATGTTGTCAAGTTCATGTAGTCATGTCTGCGTTTCATTATGTTTCCTATTTTATTTTCTAAGAGGTTCTGTGTTTTGTTTTACTCTTTCCCTGTGGCGTTGTTATGTCCACGTTGTGTCTACTGTGCCTTTCTGTCCCATGTTTCAGGTCCCTATGTTCTGTCTTCTCAGTTGCTGTTAAGTTTGCATGTCTAGAGTTCAGTCAGTGTGTTTCCTGTTTTACTTTGAAGGTCCATGTCTCATGTGAGTGATTCTAGTTTTGCTTCCTTTGTCTCGTCCAGCCTGATTACTCCCAGCTGTGCTCTCCTTCTGTGTCTCATTCCCTCGTTATCCCTCTGTGTATTTAAGCCCTGTGTTTCTCTTTGTCAGTGTTGTGGTCTCGCTCATAGCTGTATGAGTTGCCATGTGTTTTCACGTATGAGTTAGTTGTAGTTTTCCCCAGTTTAGTTTGTTCTTTGTTTCCTTCCCGAACCTGCAATAAAGCAGTGTTTTGAGTTCACTTTTGTGTCTGTGAGTTTTGCGTTTGGGTCCTTCTCTTGCCTGCACACAGCCGAAACATGACACTTTGGCACACAGCTGTGGCTGAGGATGGAGACTCCACCCACCTATTATTCAAATCTTTTGTTTGTGGAAGCAGCCAAACAGAGCGATCCTGGTTTAAAGGGAAGGGGTTGGATTATTCTGAAGCAAGAATAACAATATTGAGAAGGAAATGAGCAAAGTGGGTCACTTTTCAGGTAACTCCAAGTAAAACTTTAATAGTAAATCCACATCTGGAAAACAGAGCAGTGTAGTTTATGTTGAAAACTAACATTCTTTTTTACATAATGCAAAGTTTTTCATAAAATTTTACTTACATATGTTAACATTGGCAACACTGGCAACATTGTATAAGTGTGGCTGATTATGATTTAGAGAGTGCAGTTATTTTGTGTATTTTCTGAGCTGTAACATTTAGGGAAAAAACTATGAAATACTGACAGACTTTCTCCAAATTTTATAATCTAATATTACCTATTTACACTTAAAAAAAAATATACTCACAAGCATAGATGCCAAGTTATCATCATAAATTTTTTATGTTCCAGAAACTAAACTAACAGGCAGAACACACAGCCCGAGAATGGATGAGATCATGACGCTGCACAGAGGGAGACACAAACAATATATACACACCCAAGAGGGAGTCAGGGCAAAGATCTCAACCTCAGACTATTAAATAAATCCAAACCAAAAGTCCAAAACGCTGGGTAGAAGACGCAGGATCATGACAGTAACAGTAAGTATGTTTCAGTAACTGCAAACGCTAGACTTGATCAATAATTACTTTTTACTGTTCAATACAGTAAAAAACTGTCTTATAATACTGATCACTTATGGATCCTCTTATTGTTGCTCAGGGCCTCTGTGAGTTTGGTTTGCATGATCTCCTTAGCTGAGTATAATGGCAGCTCCAAGGTCGAGAAGCACGTGTGTGTCTCAGGATAGTACTGGTCATAGGAGAGGTCCTCGACTTCTTTAACTTTGACTTGCATCTTGATTTTGTCCATACCGAGAATAGGCACCCGGTCAAATCCTGTCACAAACCCTAGAAGAGGAAAAAAGCAGAAATCGATGAATGTCGTGAGTTTTTGTTTACTTTTCTGTATGTTGGGGTGCTTTATCCACAACCTCAGCTGCTGTGCAACTGATGTTTCCTACCACATGTTCACTGCATCGATTAGCAAATGTCAAAACATTCCTGAGTGATCAAAACTTTAGTAGTCACTGTGATGAAGCAATGTTGCAAATTTACAATGGTAAATTCCTGCTAATAAAGCAGATTAGTAACGTAACTTCCATTTACATGTTAAAATTTAACTAGCTTTTATGATCAAATCAAATACTTACAAAGGAAAGCTTTCTTCTGGTTCTCAGTCAGTTCATCAAAAACCTCCCAAAACATCTGTATGGTGGGATGGCCTGCGCTGTATTCACCTTCATAATGTGTGTTCTAATCATAGTGAAAGAGACTGTTAGATATATTGAAAATAATTCATTCAAACTGTAATCAAAGCATGCACAATAATGGGATAAAAAAAAATTGCAGACAAATTACATCTTTGTGTCACTAACGATTTACCTGTTTCAGCTTTTCCCAGTCACTGAAGTCTTTGCCCACCATCACTTCTTGCAGCTCCTTTGGCCTGAAGAGTTTCACCAAATCCTGCTCACACACCAGGAAGAAGCCTCTCTTGAACTCCTGAAACACATTCTCCACTGATGTGTTGAAGGCATGATTCACGTAGGCATCCACAAACTCCTTCCTGTTTGGCAGATAAAAGTAGTGATTAAAAGAAACACATCCACACTTTGGTCAAATCATGAACTGTTCTGTTCCTTTTTGTTTAAAGAGTGGTCGCTTTATATCTCTGCCATGGTCATTTCCCATTAATTGCTTAAATTATTTGCCTATAAACAGGCAAACTAAGCGTGGTGTATCGCACTGGACCTTGTTACCTTTTCTAACCTTAGTAGTAAAAATAAGGTAATTGGTTGGTTGATTATGTCCTTGTTGTAACTATGCTTCTTGGCAAATAAACTTAGACTATTGGAAAGCCTGATTATTCACCCTCAAATTGTCTCACATTTGCAAGGAAAATGCATTTGTGGGTTGAGCAGCAGAGTTGAGCATGTGACTTTCATCCATGACAAACTTTCCAGATCATCTCTGCTAATGCCAAACAGCTTATTCTGCTATTGGCTCTTGTCTGGTGTTATTTGTTGGATTGATTGGATCATTTGCTGGCATACACCCAACACATCACACTGTTTCCACCAAAACCTAGTTTTATCCGCACTTTGACCCTGTGATCATACAGTAAAATTTTGTGGTGGTGTCTTCTTGGTTCACCTGTCTCTGATATCCCCTGTTTTGGCCTTCAAATTTGGAGGTGGTGCTAGGGCTCACTCCATCAATGTGCCTTGATTGGCACAATCAGGTGCATAATAAGCATCTGATTGTCAGCACTGCAAGTACCAGAAGCCTAAAAACAAGAGTCAATAGCAGAATAGGCTGTTTGGCTTTGGCAGAAAAGATCTGGCATGTTTAAATGGGCGCCACGCACAAATGTGCACAAAAATGACCCAATTTTAGTGGAAAAAAACATGCCAATTCTTTCCAAGAAGTGCTGTTACAACAAAGAAATTATTTACTAAATATAAATTTTATTTTATGTTATGACTTTTTGTTATGTGTAGCTTCTCTCTGGCAGGATAATTCATAGTTTGCTTTTCAAAAACATGTTATAAAAAAAACTTTAATTGTCCTCACTTATTTTGACTTGTCACCAATTTTTCCGAATTTTCTGGATCAAGGTCGATATCTTTCCCATCCCAGTTGATCTGTTGAAAAAAAAAGATTTTACTGCTTTAAGGATTGCGTATCCAAAGACCATTTTGAAAACTGTTTTGATTTAAGTTGTGTGGAAAACCCCTACCGAAAAATACATGTCCAGGTTTTCCAAGTCATCATCTTGGTAGTCCTCCAGAATGTACTGCAGACTCCTGTAAACATAATATAGTTTAGGATCATTTGTATAACCAATCAACACCTAAAACTACAAATTTGTGTGAAGTAAATATAACTGTTATTAAATTTTCTGCCTTACTCTCCAACACTTGGGTTGAATTCTATCAAATCCTCCAGTGAAGGCCTTACACCGAGCAGCTTCTTGAACAGCACCAGTGGGAAGGGTAAGTGGATGATGCACTGGTTGTACAAGGCCAGTCCACACAGAACTCCGAACAGGAAGAAACGCTGGTCTTCCTGAGTTGCCTGGTGTCAACTAACTTTGGTTAGTTATATGGTGTTATAAGGAATCAGTTAAAAGAATGAGAAAATTCTGTGTCCAATGTTATTTCCAATCAATAGGAAGGCTTACTTTTGAGGAGAACCATGCCAGTGTTTCAGAGTCATTGAACATGAACATCCCAGATTCAGCTGAGACCAAGTCATGAAAGACTTCATAAAAAAAGTCTTTCTTGTAGACCGCATCGATCACACGATTTCCATCAAAGAAAACCTTCAAGACACAGGGGCAAAAAAAGTTTAGATCAAAACTGCATGAATGCACGAGTTTTTAATATAATTTGTGCCTTGCTATGTTTACAGTACGATACAATTTTATTTATATGGCACGTTTAAAACAAGGGGGTACACCAAAGTGCTTCACAGTAAGGAATAACGGTAAATGATTACACTGAACAGTAAGTCATTAAAAAAGGTAAAATAGAGAAAATAGAGAAACAAGCAAAAGCATTAGTAAGTAGAGATAGGGAGAAAACATGATTATCCAGAGAAATGAGCAGCAATACAGCAATTAATGAGTGGTGAGAATTAGCGAGTCGGAAAAGCCAGGTTGAATAGGTCAGTTTTCAAGCGTCTCTAAAGGATTGAATGGATTCAGAGGCACGAATGGTAGAAGGAAGACTATTCCAGAGGTTTGGTGCTACAGAGGCAAAAGCACGATCACCCCTAGTCTTCAGATGGTGCCTGGGCTGGGCCAGATGATCGTAAAGAACGGCTGGGAGTACAGAGACTGAGGATGTCGGTGAGATAGTCAGGGGCAAGGTTGTTTAGGCATTTGAAAGTGTTACAGAGTATAGCATGGTGGAAAAGGATGGAGAGAATCCCCCACTAAGCTTTTGGGTTGGCATTACTTTAGATTTTGTTTTGTATTAATTGCATGCTTTGGTGTTTTTTTGTGTTTGATGTGAGGTGTGGGCCACACCCATGTGGGAGTGGAGATTCTACTCTAGTCCAGCTGCCAGCTATTTGGAGTTGAATACAGGGAGCAGCTGATTGGGGAGGATTGGAGCCCTTCTCTATAAAGGGGAGAGGAAACAGGAAGTAGGTGTGGTCGTTGTTTTTTTTTTTTTTTAGTAGGACACTGGTGTAGCAGGGAAGCCTCGAAGATCCAGGATGAAGTGTGCACATTTTAACGGAAAAGATTTTTAACCTGGCCTGGTTTTGCTTTTAAAATAAACTGAGGATGTTGGAGGGAGGACTCATTCTTATTGGGATGTGAGTGGATGTGCTGGAAGGCAGGAAAACAAACACTGGACTGGAGACTCTCTGTGCCCCTGACGAGGAAACTGGACCAGTTTTGGGGAAGTTCCAGCTCCCCGGATGTGATGTGGAGACCCAGCCTCGAACGAAGTCAGGCCTGAAAAGGTGGGTGGCAAGCCTCTTTGAGGAAGATACAGGATTGATACGTTTTGGCTGCTTGTTCTTCCAAGTGACCACCTTTCCCCTGTTTGTAACCAGGCTAACAACCCTGACCGCGGTGGCTTTGGGCCTTGGATTCCTGGCCAGAGTTGTGTCTTCAGCCAGTAGTTTTACCCGGAGAAAGAACAAATAAATCTTGTGTAACCCATTACAGTGTGCGTGTGGTGGTTCGTTACTGGTCAATATTAGAGCTACTACTTTCTTGTACGGAGGCCATTTTGGGCCTTGCGTAACAAAAGTAAGCAGCAGAACTCTAAAATACTTTACCACGAGTGGCCTCTTGTAGTCTCTGTGATTCGTATCAGCCATTTTTTTCATGGTGTCCTCCAAAACTGATGCTCGCCTCAGCTTCACTACAAAGACAAAGTCTTCCAAAACTGAGGGAGAGCGACCGAATGTCCTCCAAAAGTTCAGACAGACTTTCATCGCCTCTGTAATCTGAAATAAAGTGAATGATGTCACTTTTACTCTTTCTCAAAGAGAAAGAAATAATCTATGTTACATGTTTTTGGAAGGTTTTTTTACCTTGGCATGGTAAGCATTCATGTCAAACACTGTTTTCTTTGATTGCAGATCCATCACAATAGGGAACTTGCACAGGATGAGAGGCTCAGCATGTGAATACTGAAAGGGGAAAAACCCATAGAGGTCTTTAAGGTTTGATTGCACATAAATAAAACATACATTTCTTCATGTTGTTTATTTGAACACTGGGTATTGACTAAAAAGTGACCGAACCAAAGATGAGAAGAATGGAATAACAAAGTATGACACAGTAGATTACACACAGACACACTACTTTAGACCAGAACATTTTACCTTTCGTTGTGACTGTAAAAGCCAATGTTGCAAATCCTCCAAAAGGAAATCTTCATCAGCTGACACACAAAAATCGCTTTCTGGTATCCTTCGAGTTTCTGCAACCCTTCTGTTTGCCTAACAACAGAACATCTCATTATCTATTTATCATCATTTAAAAGGCAGAGAAAGGGTTGGATTTCACTTTAGGAATGAGTGAAATGACTGTTTTAGGATATTTATACTAACATTGTACATATATTGGAGGACTAGCAGCAGATTTCTGACTCCAGAGTTGCGAGGTACAGGTTTAAAGGACAGGATCTCTGATAGGGCCTGCTTCCACACCTTAACGTATCGCACCATGGTGGAGGGTGACAGCGAGGACCACCAGTCACCTGAAGAAAAACAGAGAACCGATAAAAAACTACATGCCATGAAACTTTGAGCACTTTCTCACCTTCCAGATTAAAAAGAGTATTGTGATATCATGTACAGTAGACAGCTGTGACAGTACCTATGATCTTAAGACTTTCATTCGACAACCTTGTTACTGCACCAGCTACCGCCTCAGCGAGCTTTATGCTCTGTTGCCGTGTGTGTTCCAGCACTGCATGCAGAAGCTCATTGAGAAGAAGGTAGATTCTCAACCCCTCAACTCCAACTGGTTTCTGGTCGAGGGAAGGAAGCAGGCGTAGCACAGCAGCCTCGATCTGTTAGTTTGGCAAGGATTGCAAGAATCGATCAGCAGCAGTTAGGTCCAGGCACTGTTACATGTGTATTACATTAGGCAGTAGAATGGGGAATTCATACATTATGGAGAGATGCTGATTCCTCAAATTATTAGTAGGATATTTATAAAATAACAAGCAAAGAAGAAGACCTTTTGCTACAGATTGCATGTATTCTAGCAACATACCTCTGCCCAAACATTGTCCTTTGTTAACAGGTTCTTGAAAGCAAGCCGTGCATGTTTTAGGTTCAAGCCGTGGTACTTCAGTGAAGTTTGATAATGTTTATCACCGCTAAGAAGACAATGAACAAAGTCCACATATAAGTATGGCACTTATCCATAAGCAAACATTTACCAGCTAAAACAATATTTCAGTTCTTTCAATCCTGAAACACCAGATCTCTCACCTTTGAAATGAGAAAAAGAATGTTGTGCACAGAAACTGTGTATTTACCTTTGTTGAAGGAAACTTTTATTCAGACAGGATGCAGAGGAAAACGCCCCGTAGATTTCCCTGTGAAGATTTAATGTTTTCATCCGATTGCAGAAAAAAATGTTTTCAAACAAATAATTTGAATGACAGAAACCATACAACACCAGGCAAACCAACAAGCTGTGACTGCCAGTGCATCATACTTACTGTTTAATCTTTTTCCATGACTTTAAATCACATTCAGAGATCCATTTGCCAACCATGTTATCAAGACAGTGTTGTGATGCAAAGCCACAGTCTGTGTTTGAACCCTCGTCAATGTCCTGTGAAGGAAAGCAGTGACTGTTTACATATTCACACATATTCGCACCTCCTCCCATCACAGTCTGTACCTAATGTGTTAGTGTCAGTACCTCATCAGACCAGCATGTTGCAAATGAACAGTTTTCTCCTGCGAAGATGTTTCTGATTTTGGGCCCATTGGTGCCTTAAATGATAAGTAAACACGTCACTTCT